CACTAATTTTTAAGAGTATAAAGGGGTCCAGAGATAAAATTTTTGAGATCTGCTGCCCTAACTAATGCTAAGGGGTAAAGAAGATCTTTCACTTGGCTAAGGTGGGCTTTCACTATTCTCACAGTGTTTGTCCTCATACCTATATGTGGGTTTGTCTACATTTACTTACTACCCATGCCTGGTAAAGTCCTGACTCCACTGAAGTGGAGACTATAATTAAAATATTCATCTGTAGTTACTGCATCCTTTACTTAATACATGACTAAGCCATATACAAATTACAGTATGTATTATACACAAAAGGTGTTTAAAGCTTTGCCAGTGAGATGAAGCAATGTCCTTCAATGGTACCGTATAAGGATCTCTGAATGGGCCTGTCAATAATTACTTTTACATCTGCATTATTAAATTTTCACGATTTTGGATACTCAGACAACCGGTCCTTGTTACTTCTATGCTATGCTAACTCCAGAGGAACGCTTGAAAACTACTTCATGCTAAACCTTGGATCTTGAACTCCAATCTCTAACACAAACAAACTGTGACTGATGGACAAACTGATTTTTAATGCAAGTCAAGGTACAATAATAAAACTGAAAAACAAAAACAAATAAAAGAAGAATCGAGATTCAAAAGTTCTAACCTATAAGATTATCTTGGAAGGAGAATTTTTCAGAACCAAGAACAAAACCACTTAGACCTGAGGAAGCTGAGGAATCATGATGAAATCTGTACCAGTTTTATTAAAAACAGAAGCAAACCAGACTGTGTGTTTTTTAAAACTTTAAAAGGGCAAAGCATTTTTTGTAAAATGTTATTCTCTTTCACTAAGTACTGCAGAGTAACTTAATTAATTCTTGAGATTCTCACAGCCCTTAAAGCAAGTCATAAAAATGATACTTACATGGGAGTATAAACTGGAATGACATTTTGGGAGGGCCACTTGAAAATATTTAGCAGAAACCCAATATGCATACCCACTGAGTAAGAAATTCCAGGTTGGCAATTAATTCAGAGAAAACTGGCAATGATGAAGACACATGGATGTTCACTACAGTGTTGTGTATAATGAGAAAAACTGGAAAGAGCCTAAATATCCAGCAACATAGGGCTGATCAAGTAAACTATGGTTTACCATATAATGGCATACTATGTGGCCATAATACAAAAATGTAAAAATTAATTATAAAATTATATATGGCAAGGAAAAGTACTTAATCAATATATATACTTAATCGGTATACTTACTATATATTGCTGAGGGGAAAAAAGCAAGTTATAAGATTATAGCATTATATGATCTCATTTCTGCAAAAAAGATATATATATATATATATATATATATATATATATATATATATGTGCATAAAAATATCAGGAAGGGTATAAATTAATAGTATTTACTGCTGGATTACAGGTGATTTTTATTTATTTTCTTTGAGGGTCTGAATTCTGATTTGCTATAGTGAACATCTTTTCTTTATATAATAAAAATAATTATTAAAATACTTGAGGCAACCATTGCAATTGTTAGTATTTCTCTAATTCTTATGATACTGAATACTGTCTATACTATGGAAAGTGGTAGAGGAGAGTGAGGCGAGAAGACAAGGAGGGAGCAAAGCAGACAGATTTTATACTGTTTATTATTTTATCATGAATATTTGTGATAAAGTATTAGGTTAACCTTGGATTTAACAATCTGGAAAAAAATTCAAAGGAACTTAGTAGCAAATAGTTAAATGTTCACAAAAGTCACACTTTAATCTCATAGATTTAATTTTTCTCCTCTCCTTGGAATGCTGATTTTGTTCCTTAGGAGCAGGTGGCTTTCTTTTTTATGTCTCTCTATTATCTTGTCAGACACAGCTCTCTCAAAACTTTTCTGGGAGCTAACCAAGCTTTATCTAACCAAACCCAAAATGGCATGTGGACTTCATCCACATGGTCATATGAATCTGTTGGCTGATGACTCCTGCCATATATCTAATCGGTTTTATAAAATCCATGCTTGAAGAAGGATTCTATAGCTATAAGAGTGTGATGCTGTGGGATGAAGGAATGTAGTGGCAAAGAGGCTACTTTAGCTGCTACATGGGAATCTGGGAGCCATCACTGCCACCAAATATTGGCAGCACATATCCCAACAAAGGAAGAATCCTAATAATTTTGAGTGAAAAATTTCTATCATGCATTTCAGCTTAGATCTACTAATAACACTTCTTTAAGTGCTTTGTTAGTGAAATCTGGGAATAATTATCAAACACCATATACAGTGTTTACAATAGAATCATATTTCTTTTCTTTCTCTCCCCCTCCCACCTTTTTTTTTTTTTTTTTTTGCATAAAAAGTAGAATGCTGCTGAATGGTACCCAAATGTCTGTTGTATACCATGCCAATACAGCAGCTCAGCCAAAAATGCGAATAGAAGAGTTTGCCAAGTAAAAGAAAACATAACAAATTGGTAATGGTTTCTATCTTGACAGAAAATGAAAATGATCCCTCAATGTGTGGTCACTCATGTGGACACATAAAAATGTCTGAGAAGCAATCATTTTACCTCAGATAACAGACCCTGACAGTGTAGTACAGCACTGGCTGACTTTCACTTCTTAGAAAAGCAGTAACCGTGACCTACAAAATAGTCTGGTAACCATGTAATTTATGCATAACACACATGCACATGCCATGCACTCATAATATTTGCCATAAATCATTCTGAATATAAGACTTCTTTTCTGAGTGGAATATACTTTATGAGAGATGATCTAAATCACTAGAGACCTGATAAAGTGGAACGGGTGTATTTAGGAACAGAAAGGATGTTGTTGCTTATTGGGTTACAAAATTTCAATTGTCTATAGTGCAATAAAAAGGGTCCCATGTATTCTGTATGATTCTCTTTAGTACCCTGAACACAAAAGGTATTTTACTAGATATTAAATAAAACAAATACGAAAAATGTGTAGGTACAGAGTTTACAGTTCTGACTTTCTGTTAAGGACACTGCAACTGAAGGTAGAAATGAACCCCCTGAAGACCTGGTAATCATGTCTTTAACTTACTTACCTTTCCTTGACCACTTATTTTTGTTCCCCAGAAGGAGAAGTGGTCAACATCATTGACCAGTGATTTTACCATCTGGTAAAGTTTTTCCATTTGTTCACTTTCTAATGAGGATGTTAGGACATAGATTGTACTGTGAAATCACAACAAAAGCAAGAATGACAATTTTAAAAACACTAATTGATATCTGAAGCTAATGAGGAATTCACAATGAGAGAATACTGAACCAAGTGGCTAGGAAGAACCCTGGGAAGTTAAATGGTCTTGCCAAGTTAAAAGTAAATTTGAATCCTGTGGGTTATGAGTTTCAAATGAAACTTCTGGGTTTAAATTTGTTGGTGACTTTCCTGTTCAATAAAAAAGGACTTAAATGGCTTATAAAAAGGTTAAAAAAACTTATTGGGCATCAAACTGCTCTTACAAAACACCATCTTGATGAGTTAAGTGTAAATGAATCAGAAACACATGGATCATGTTTCCTTAAAAAATGCATATGGATTCAAAAATAAGGGGAAGAGGACTTGGCAAAACATTTTTTTTATGTGGTGGCTGAACCCAAAACATTTGAAAGATATTTTGAGACATTCAAGGAATCCAAAATAAAACTAAACCTGTCCAGTCATATAAAAAACAGAAAGTTCTTCTTTGTAATGTGCACTTATCTTGATGGGTCAATCAACAGTCACTGAGCCTTCCCCTTTGGCACAGGACAGTGGGAGAAGCCAGCTTCTGCCTTTAAACAACTTTGAATTTAAGTGTAAACAAATACACATAAGTAATAGAAACCCATTTAAAAAGTTTCAGGGTTAAAAAAAAATAACCCAGATCATATAGAAACTATATCTTGAGAAATACACAGGTACTTAAGGGTCCTAGGGGAGGTAGGATTCATTCCATTCAAAAAATCATCCCCTCAGCTCTTTTGATTAAAGTTATATATAGTCATAGAATCTTGCTTAAATGTTTTCTTAATAAGTGTTTTTATGTCTTTTTTAATGTGTGTCCCAGCCCTCTTTCCTCCACCCTCTAGATTTGTGAGTGCTCAACAAATCTTGCTGACTGGTTTCCTGGAGGATGGGAGTGTTGAGCAGTTTTGAAATAGGAGAGAGATGCTTCTGGCAAAGAGGAGTGAGGCTCTGATTCTGGGTTGGGGTAATGGCACATATGACAGTTCAGAGGTTCCAGAGGGTGAGTCATATGTGGGGGGTGACCCATTGGCTTGCTTGCAGCAATGTGCTGGAGCCAGGGTGAGTGGGAGGTGAGGGCAGTTAGGTGTGGGGAGTCCTAATATACTACATGTGAAGTCAACTGGAGGACAGAGGAGTGTGATAAGGGAAAGCGCAATTCTTATTCCCTTCCCCCCCCCACTTTTTTGCTATTCTAGGATAAAGTGCTAAGGATAGGACATATACGAGTCATTAATTCCTTTATTTCATATCAGTGTCTTAAAAAGCTGAAAAATAGCCAAAGAAAAAAATAAGTTGACTGCGTATGAATTGCTAGGATCCTGTAGGTCATAAATTTTAAGAAGAACTTAGTAGGATTATGAAATGTATTACTGAGCCCTAAAATGTTTGTGGGACAGTGTAAAATATTAATGATTTAGAATCTTTTGAGGCTGCTTTCTAGCTGTTTAATGTGAATCTTATCTTTTCCACAATATTAGAAAGTTATTTAGGACAGGGAGAAAGTCACATATTTCTTGTATATTTTCCGCTGGCTAGCATAATACTGGGAAAACACCGAGCACTCAATAAATGCTTACTCAAGTGAAATGAAGTCAAAAGGTGCTGAGGCCCTATATAACGACAAGGGGATGATGAAAGGTGAAGTCTGAAAGAGAAAAAATGGGTGATATAGTGGGAATGCCCTAATAGTGTGTCTGCCCTGAGCCTTTTGTTCAGGGTTAATACCGAGGAATCAAAGCCCTTACCATCCTTCATCATCTTCTACTTCTGCTTCAGAAACGTCATTCTCAGGAGTTTCAGCAATTGCTTGAGTGAGTTTAGATTTAAACTGGTTCAGCAGCGCCAGGGTCTGGAATAACAATTACACTGCTAAGTTCTCTGATAAGGATAAATATAATTTTACAAAACTGCAATAAACCTTGACAATGCTTTGTTTGCATCTGCACTGACATTTTCCCTCAGACACAGGTGACTGCTTTCTGATTTAGGGAACATAAATTTGCTTATATAAAAGATGCTTAAACAATAAAATGCATGTTTGTTAATGGCTAATTTTTAATGTCCATAAGAAAAGGATGTACTTTACTAAAATATGTGAGATTAAAACTAAAATACCAAAAATAAATACTATTTGTCACTGAATAAATTTTCATGAACTTAAAAAGTTCATTGTTAAGGAAGGTAAAATGAACACATTAACTGTTAGAAGATGGGTAAATGGGAGTGACATTTTTAGAAAGCCTTTTAAATTTATCAGAAGACTTAAGATGATCATTCCTTTTGATTCAATCACTTTGTTTCATGTTATTTTTTTAAAATATTTTTATTTATTTATTTGACAGACAGAGATCACAAGTAGGCAGAGAGGCAGGCAGAGAGGGGAGGCGGGGAAGCAGGCGGGACTCCATCCCAGGACCCTGGGATCATGACCTGAGCCGAAGGCAGAGGCTTTAACCCACTTAGACACCCGGCACCCCTGGAATCCATGAAGAGAAATTGTGTGAAACATGGAAAATGGCTTATGCAAAAGGTGTACACTGCAGCAGTAATCATACAAGTTCTCATGGAAACATGTTAAAATGTCTGTCAATAAGGAACTAGATAAATTTCCTAAAAAACAGGGACTATGCCATTATACTATTATAAAAATTATATTCATGAAGTATTACATTCTATTGTTAAGTAAAAGAAGTAGGGCATAATTACCATGATTCAGTAGGTTTTTTAAAAAGGGGCCATTTCTCTAATTTTTGTTTGTCTCCTGTGTCCTTTGTGGGTAACAATCAATCACATTGTCCCCTGGCTATAACTTAACAGTTGACTCCAGATTTTGAGCAGAGAACAAAAGTTGGAAAAAAATTTTTTCCCTACAATTTAAAAAACTACATAATTGTGAAATGGGGTGAAGTACTACCTGTCTAAAAAATCAAATGTCTAATTAAGATACTGTCATATTGAATTCAGTACTAAAATATTCATATTTCATAAGCAAAAAGATGTATAATAATTCAGTATGTGAGTAACAAGTATAATAAGGAGTCACAATAAATTGCTAGGCTCTGTATTTATCTAGGAAATACCATTAAGACCATGGTTCATGAAAAATGATGGTCTAGAACTTAAGCTCAGTAAAGACAGGTGGTGCAAGAATCAAAGACAGTTATTGCTAAAAATGATAATGAAAGTGCCTTATGTACATTATAAGGTCTGTAAAATTTGATGCCCACATGAACAACAGGTGAAAATATACACATTGCCATAGCTATTGAATGAGATGAGTTTTGGGAAAACACTATAAATTCCTACAGAATATCCTCATAGGCATTCTAAGGGCTGCCTAGTGCATTAGGGTTTAGATATTTTATTCTGTTTCCAGAGTAGTAATTAAAAGACTAAGCTCTTCAAGCAGTGTTAACAGATAAAGAAGGTATCCTTTGTTTTTAAACCTCATTCATTAAAAAAAAATTGTGCTTGCAAACTTTTATATTTGCTTTATAATAAGAAAAAGTTTAATAAGAAAACAAGGAGAAGCAAAACAAAAATATCTATTATCCCACAACTAGGAATAACAATTGTCGACATTTTGGCAAATATCCTTAAAGGCTTTTTAGGTGTTTTTGTGTATATGTGTATGAGCTTATATATCTATATGTATATTATATAAAATATATCTGCATATGCATATTTCTATATCTATAAACACTGATTTTTAAAAGATTTTATTTATTTATTTGAGAGAGGGAGAGAGAGCGAGCTTGTGCAAGACCCTGAGCAGGGGTAGGGGAAGAGGGAGAAGCAGACTTCCTGCTGAGCAGGAAGCCTGATGCAGGGCTCTATCCCAGGACCCTAGGATCATGACCTGAGCCAAAGGCAGATGCCTAACAGACTGAGCCACCTGGATGCCCCAAGCCCATTAATTTTTAATGGTGGATATTTGTACACTTGGAAATGTCTTTCTAAAGGCATAAAGAAAAATTAAAACAAAGGAGACTTCTTAGTGGAATCAAATTTAAAAGCTTCCTGGAAAATTATGCTAGACCTGGATCTTTTTCCTTGAGTTGAAAGTGGCAAGGCTGTCTAATTTTAGAGCCAATTAACCTGCTACGGGCATTTGCTCAGAGGAGGGGGACTGTAACAAGTAGAAAACATCATCTTGGCCTTTTTAAGCTTCTCCTGTATTCAGATTTAGACTTTTCTCTAGCTGCATTCTAAAGGCAAGGGAAGACACAAGGAAGAAAAACAAACATCACAAAAATAATGGGGCACAACATAGACTAAAGATAGGATTTGGGCCACCTGGGTAGCTCAGTCAGCTAAGCGCCTTCAGTTCAGTTCATGATCCCAGGTTCCTGGGATAGAACCCCACGTCAGGCTCCCTGCTCAGCAGGGAGTCTCCTTCTCCCTCTCCCTCTACCCTTACCCCCTGCTCATGCTCTCTCTCTCTCTTTCTCTCTGGCTTGTTCTCTCTCTCTCAAGTAAATAAATAAAATTAAAAAAAAAAAAAAGAAGATAGGATTTGCATAGGGACATTTCTGTTTGGCATCTGTTAGGGGAGTTAGTCTTCTGGTTTTTGCTGAAGGAATGAATGGCCAACTACTTATAGCGTGGCTCTTCAGCATAGTGAGAATTTTCCTAGCAGGAGGAAACTGTTTTGAAGAGGCCCTGCCTTCACAGACTTTGCTGCATGTGTATCTACACATAAGAGTCTCTTCAGTGGGCCTCTGCACCTCTAGTCCTGTCCTGGTTCAGTATATACTCTCTATACTGCAGCCAGATTGGAGGGATCTTCCTAAACTGCAAATGAGATCATGTCACTTCCTTCTTTCAATGGCTCCCCACTCCCCTTAGGGTAAATTTAAATTTCTTAATATGACTCAAAAATGCCTTGCATGAGTTGGTTTCTGCTTACCTCTCTAGCATCATCTTTCTCTTAGTTTATGTTACAGTCATACTTAACATATAGTTCTTTGCAAAGAAATCAGATATTTTTCATATACTCTTCCTTTTGTCTGGCTACCTATCTATTCAACCATCACAGTTCAACTGCCGAATCATTTTCTCAGTGAGGCCTTCCCAGATTCTCAGACCATCTTAGGTCCTATTAGATGTTTCTATAGTTCCCTGTACTTAACCTGTCACAATGCTCACCTTTTTTTAATGGTATTACTTAACTGGCTCTTTTCCCTAATAGCTCAGGACATATGTGTGTCTACCTTGTTTACCGCCAAATATACTGATTAGTACATGGTTCTTAATAATTATTTGCTAGGAGGCAAAAAAGAGGAGTGCATGAATAAGAGTGATCCTTGGGTATCTTTGGTAGTATTATTGACTGCAGTTGCTATTCACTGTGACTCCATGAAAACAAGTTAATAATGTGCTTTTTCTTAATTTCATTTGATATGCCATTTCTTTTGAAAATTGCTCAAATTCATCCTCTATAATTACAGTTTCCTGTATCTGACTTCTTGTAGAACTTTCCTTATGATTATTTTCATGCTAAGTACTGATGCATGATTCTGCTTTACCAGGAATTAGGTGTCATTTATAATGTAGTTCCTGATTATATTAATTTATCCAAATAGACTTGGGCTTTTTAATTTACTTTTATTTTGCCTATTTTATCTATACACCTAAAATGGCATTTTCTCAAATAGATATACATGGCAGCATCACAAATAAATGATTTTGGTCTTCCCCCTAGCTTTTCAACATGAATGACTGCTGAAGATATTTATCTTACTAAATGCCAAGTGTTGCATAGTATATAAAATTGACTTTCAGATTGTGGAGCTATCTTTTTTACTCTTATTTCTAACAGTCATCTTTTATGAGTTCTTAAAAATTCATAAATTATTTGAAACAAGAAGAGTCCTGTGATATTATTTACAATAGAAATCAACTAGTGGACTGAATGCCTTATTTACAGGCAGTTTACAATTTTGAGCAGAACTGGCTAGTCAGTATATGAGATGCTGTGCTAGAAGAGATCTCTTCACCATTTATAATCGCCACTACTCCATTTTATAATATTTACTTAGACAAAGGTTCTACCTGGCTACTGAGAATATGTGACTTTATATGGTTCCTATGCTTGATATGGGAGTACAAGGTTGAAACCTGAAAGTTTTAGGCTTTTTGCCTACAATATCTGGAAAGAACATGAGTGTCCAAGGTTCTTGTCACCCCACACTCTATGAATATATCTTTCTTAATTTTTAAGAGGTAGCGTTTTTCTGATGTGTAATCAAATCAGGTTTCATGAGCAACACCTCAAGACAATTAAAAGGCAATGCGTTACATATAGATTTAGGCTTATGAAGTTACCTGGTCTTCCCGGGAAGTCCCCTTCTTTGCCTGTTGCTTTCTCAGAGCTTCATACTTTTGCTTTTCTCTTCTGTATTCTGCAACAGCATCATCAGGAGCAGTTTCATCCTCTGAAGAATAATACAATATTTTTAGAATAAATAGTAAAAAGGCTATGTGGTTTCATATTAACACCTATGCTTATTACAGAAGAGGAGGTCAGAACCTGGGATTGGTTTTCACCCATTTGAAAATCAAACCAGGGACATCTGGGTGGCTTAGTCATTAAGCATCTGCTTTGGCTCAAGTCATGATCCCAGGACCCTGGGACTGAGCCCCATATTGGGATCCCCGCTCAGCGGGAAGCCTGCTTCTCCTTCTCCCTCTGCTCCTCCCCCTGCTCCTGTTCCCTCTCTTGCTGTCTCTGTCAAATATATAAATAAAATATTTTTAAAAATTAAAATAAAAACAAAACCAATAAGTGGATCCAGCTCCACAACTAGTTCCTGTGCTAGACAGTGATCAATGTTGACTTATCAACCAATTTTATAAACATCTTTATTATATAATGTATTATTGTAGTTCTCACTTGTTTGAGTATAAAATCACCTATCTCACTTTTAAAATAATTAAGAGGGGCGCCTGGGTGGCTCAGTGGGTTAAAGCCTCTGCCTTCAGCTCAGGTCATGATCCCAGGGTCCTGGGATCGAGCCCTGCATCGGGCTTTCTGCTTAGTGGGGAGCCTGCTCCCTCCTCTCTCTCTCTCTGCCTGCCTCTCTGCCTACTTGTGATCTCTGTCTGTCAAATAAATAAAAAAAAAAATAAAAAAAATTAAGATTCTCCTAAAATTCAGCACTGCTGTTTTACATTCATCTCCTGTTTATAAGATACAATTGTTTGATATTGGTTGATTTTCCAGCTACCTGCCACTTCTGTTGCTCAGTTAAAGCAACAACAGCAACAACTAATAAACAAGTTCAATTTGATGTTATCATAAAAAACAAGTATATCCAACGAATAACTCAGGACAGCTATCCGAAGCGGATCAAAGTAAGTTTTGCTAAGTTAGAATTAGAAAACCAATTTATAGATTTGATCCTGCAATACTTCCCTGTAAAGATTCGTTGACATCTGGGTTTATGGAGCACAGTTTTGTCTCAAGAAGAGTACTAACATTTTGTATTAACTTACATGCATATGTATTAGTGAAAATTTATGATTGAAAAATAAAAAAACCAAAAACCAACAACCTATCTCTTCTTATCTTTGGCTGGCAAACGAAGATGAGCCAGATGTAATCAAGAACACCAGTAATCTTTCTGTTCAAGCCTTGGTTTGTTGCTTACATCTTTGTTACGTGGTTTGAAGAATGTTACTAATGTGCAATGTATTAACAATCAGCCATTTTGTTCGAGATTTTCTAATGCTGTGACATTTGCTGCATAAACCCAACTGTGTGAAAAATCTGGCCAACTATTCTATTTCATAACTGAGTATATCACATTAGTATAAGTACTTCCCTTTACAATATGATCAACTATGAGTAATCATAGCACGTTAATTTTTAATTTTTATTTCTCAGGAGTATATTCTGAATAATTTCCTTAGTTTTATAATTCAGTTTATTAATCCTTTGTTTAGTTATAATTACTCAGTTTTTAAGATGTAAGCTGAGCCATTGATTTTAATTATATTTTTATTTCTAGGTATTCTTTTTGGTTATTTTTCTTTTGGTTATTCATCTGTTCTTTTAATAGTCTCAGTCTTTTTTTTAAATTATGTTTAGTCCTTTAAAAATCTCTTTTAATTATTTAAAACACCTTTATGTTGTATCTTTCAGATTCTTCTTGGGGATCTTTCTCTTGGGGAGAGTCTTCTGACTCTCTTCCTAGGCTCATCATTTCTCTATGTGTTTTCTAATTTTTGACTGTGAGTTTATATTTAGCTAGAGCTGCATCTCCATCATGCTCTGTAGGAATTCTAGGCACCCAGGATTGTTTAAGAGTTTCTACAAAAAACTTTTGCATTTGTTTCTACCAGGCAATTTAGGGGGTCTAGTAGTCTAGACATTTTTTTTTTCAAGTTAATTTCTTGGCTTAGGATTCCTATACCATATAGGGAATGTATATTCAGACTTTGTAGCCATGCCTGGTAGAGGTTTAGAGTTTTGATTTCTTGAGAAACTTTTTTTTTTTTTTAAATCTCCCCCACACAGAGGTCTGAAACATGACAAGCTTCATTGTGGCCTTCCTGACTAGGTGGATGGTTTTTCTAGTTTCCATTTCTCTTGAGCCACGGCCACATCTCTCTCCAAGTCTGAGATTAAAACTCCCAGCTTCTAGCTAGTAGAACCTACATCTGGTTCCATTACCCCCCTGGGCAACGATAATATCACCTTGCGCACTTAATGCTCTGGTTTTTTTCCCCTTTGTTTCTGGTACCTAGGACCTTTCTTTTTTTCTTACCTTCTCTCTCTTCTTTCTTTCTCTCCCTCTCTTAAGCTTAGCTAAGTATTTAAATTGGGCAGGATCATATTTTATCCAGCATTTCTATATATGTGTAGAAGAAGGAAGGTCTGTACTAACTCAGTCCATGTTGCCAGAACAGGAAGTAGCACATTCATTTCTCATGTGCTTGAATCCCCCTGAATAAACAAAAATTGAATAAGTGACTGGATGATTTTAGTGACATAAAACTGGCTAATAAAATACACAAGGAGTTTGAAAAGTTCAGTTTTTCTAAGTACAGACTGTTCTGCTTTTACTTTTCTTATAAATCTCAATATACAGTGGATGATAATTCATAAATAATGATGATGTAATATGATGACTATTTGTCATTAACTGAAATTTCTACAAAATATGCTAAATAAATAGGAAGGAAGAGTGGTAGGGAAAAAAAAGAACATTTACCAAAGAGTATATGTTAGGCACCATGTTAAAGTGCTTTGATGATCTAGAAAGGATCCATACACCAAATGAGGAAACAGGAATTACAATATGGTAGAGCTGGGATTTGAGCACACTGTGCTCAGTGACTTCAACTAAAACTTCAATCCAGAAAATAAAATTTTACCTAGTGTCTCTCATATGTGGGCATTCTGAGAAATGCTATGAAAGACATCTAAAACATAAATGATACAAACTTTTCATTCTATAATGTAGTCTAAAGGGTGAAACAAACCTAAGATATGTGAAAATAGTTAAGAAATCAAGCCACTGACTTTTAAGTTTCAAATTGCTGATTCCTTAGAGGGCTTAAAGCTCACATATGTTATAGTATCAGAATAAAGTATCTCAGCTATCCCTGAGATAATATAGGTAGGTAATATATGTGAAAGGGTCTGGTGAAGAGAATGTCCAACATCACTATAATCATCAGTTTATCACTGGACTATCAGCTCACTAGAGCACCAGAGTTAGAAGTTACCTTGAGGATCTACCAATCTACCTTCTCAGTCAATAGGTGAGGGAACCAGTGTTTAGGTGAGTGAAGTTTCTCAGCCAGTCTCCCAGAGGGATCACCAGCAGAGCCTGGGCTAAAACGTGTGTTCTGACGCTTAGTTTAGGTGACAAAGTTAAGTACTGCACTTCTGTCCTTGCATGTTATAAAGAATGCCTTTAACCCCTCTTCTAAGAGCTAGTCAGAAACTTAATCCTTGCTCCACTTGAATCTCTTCACTGTGAAAACTTTTTGTTCTGAACATAAAGGGACGATGACTCAACTGTGGTTACTTAACTAATGAACCAATGGTATCCATCTACAAATCTCGTTTTATAGATAAAGGGCTTATTCCCTCCACTGTCTCGGGATCAGCGCTCAAGAGCTTAACAGCTCCAAGTAGTTGTTACATTCATTCATTTTTTAAAAAAAGGCTTATTGAATAATCAGTATGTATCAGAAACTGTTAGTAAGGCTGCTTATAAATTATTTTAAATATACTGGCATCCAGTACTTCAAGGAAATTTTTGAAAAATTTCCATAATAAATGAAAACTTTTATATGAATAAAAGTAATATGTTACTGCTAATAGTAAATAGCATTTGAAAACGAAACGGGTAGACTTTAATGGACACAGAAAATATCAATGCTGGTGATACCTAGTTGTACTTATCATACTTTCTGGAAGCTAAAAAGTATGTTTTTTTAAAATAAAATTTTATGGGGCGCCTGGGTGGCTAGTGGGTTACACCTCTGCCTTCAGCTCAGGTCATGATCTTGGGTCGTGGGATCGAGCCCCGCATCGGGCACTCTGCTCGGTGGAGAGCCTGCTTCCCCCTCTCTCTCTGCCTGCCTCTCTGCCTACTTGTGATCTCTGTCAAATAAATAAAATATTTTTAAAAAAATAAATAAAAAATAAAATTTTATATACACCAGTTCTTAATTCTAGGAAAAGTACCAGCTTGAAAAGCGATATCCATGATAGCTAACATTTTAAGTACTCATTATGTGCCAGATACCAGTACCTGAATTACTTGTTTAATCCTGATAACCAACCCTATGAGGAAGGCATAGTATTAGCCCTATTTTGCTGATAAGGAAATTAAGGTAGTAAAAGGTTAAATAACTTATTAAGGGACTATAAACATGAGAATATAAACCCATGTAGTCTGATTCTAAATGACAAGTTTTTAACCACCTTGGTTATTTCTTTTTCATGTCTGACACACAAGAGAACAGAAAGTACTCCAATTCAACATAAAAAGGCATCAGGTTACCAGTTGGATGTATCTGATGAAATAAAATCCTACCAAAAAAGGTTCTATATTACTCCCAGACCATGATAAATGGGAAATACAGTTTGCCAAAACGTGGGTTTATGTAAATAATTTCTACCTAGGAAGAATTCTTAATGATTTTTTCTTGATAATCCTTAATTAGTCATATTCCCCCCCTCATCTGAACCTTTAAACAGTTTAAATACTATATCATAACTGCTTCTTTGTTTGTACTGCCCCCTAGTCTACAAACTCAGATGGCAGGAATTATGCCCTGTTTGTGGCCTAGCATACGCCTTGCATATAGTATGTAGTCAATAAACAGTAGCTGAATAGACAAATGAACAATCTGATCACTCTTAGATCTTAAATTACAGCAGTGTCCATAGTAGTCTTATTGCTTTTGCAGGATG